AGAGGGTAATTTCTTTAGCCCTAACATCCGTACTTTGCACGCCTACTTAAACAGCCCTACCTATGTCCCACTTACGTGGCAACGGGATCCCGAGTTTTCCACCATCTACAGATGTCGATTTTAAACGTTTTATTACCCTGTTTATTAGATACATGTTTATAACTGCTTATTCTTCCCCTGCTTCTTTTTATATTTATTTCCTCCTTTAAGCTTGATAACCTTTTGAATGTGTACTACTATACGTTTAACCAAGGCCTGAATTTACATCTATTCCAGATTATTTTAAGCTTTTTTCTAAGCTCGAACCGTATCTTTTCTATTCTTTAGAGCTCCTTTCTTTATCGTCCTTCTCTTTATCACTACTAACATGGCTTAATTATATTAAGATCTGAAAAGTTAATATACTAAATTAACCGTCAAATCTTATAAAGATCGTATATTACCTGTTAGTAACGATAAGCATAAGCTGATATGTTATTTTCCTAAATAAAAGTCCTTAGCTGTTTTTCCTTACACTCTTTTATAAACGGAAAAAGTTTAGAGAAAAGAATTGTCTTTTAATATTGATATCAGTTAATCCTCCTTTTATTATTATCTTAAGAAAGTTTTCTTCTTTTTTTCTTTTATCTTTACTGTAGCTTCCTTTTTGTCACGAGAATAGGCAGAAAGTTCGAAGTTATCTTGGCTATTATTGTGCGATCCTAGTATGAAGAGAAAAAGGAAGAGAATCCAAAGCCAGAGCCCTGGCTCTGGAATCGTATGTCAACAATGCCCCTCTTTCCGGATTGGGCCTAGTCCGCTCGATGGTGGGGTTGGTTCCGTTGGTGCCTGGCACCTCAAGGAACCTGCAACTCCCACGGGGTCTGCCAGCTGCCACTGGTCTGCCAGGTGGCCAGGTGGCCAGGCCGCGCGACTCTTTTAGGTAAAATTTAAAAAGACAGTTAATTTAAACTATTTTAAAGCTTTTACTGTTTTTTCATTAACGGTTTTAACTCTTTATTTATTTATTTAATCTCTTTCTTTATAATTTCTTTCTCTTTCGCTATCTTTAGTATCTAACAGTAACATGGTCCTTTTATATTATAAGAAAAACTCCTTTAAAATATAAACTTAAAATAACTTTTCTACCGCTTACAAATATAACTCTTTATTACCGTTTTATTAACTTTCTTTTAAACTTAATAACTACTACGTTAAAAGTTAAAAATAACTAATGTTTCATCTGTTTAAATAACTCTTTTTTAATCTTTAAACGTTTAATCTTAATAAGCTAAACACTATTAAAATCTTTCAGCTTTTATCACTTTTATTAATCTAGGCTTCTTTATTAGTTTTATCTTTTAATAACAGTTCTGTTTTAATATTTACTAGATTGTTATCGATAAGATATCCACTCCTATCTGACTAAACTTGCTAGTGAGATTAACACAGGATCTTTCTAAGCTATATCGATCGTGTTATACCTTAATAAGTATAGCTTTGGTAGTTTCAGGAGTTTGTTTAATAGGCCGACTAGAATAAGAAGTATCTTAAAGTTATTTATCTTTTAAGATTATTAAGGTTTTGTTTAGATTAAATCCACATGAAATTACCTAGGTGTATATGTGCTAGACATGAAAAGCGGAACATCTTACTTTTATCGTAATATCAGCTGTCTTTATCCCTATAAGAGGGCTTTTCAAAGTTATAATAAGTGTGACCGGATTGGTACAATTGGCACTGCGGCATAAGTAGTGTAGCCAAAATAGTATAATTGTAGTGTGAAGAGAGAAGGTCTCTCTGAGGCTTGCGCAGCTAAAGGAATATGGCTGCGCTGAGTGCTGGTCCTTATCGATAGGGTTCTATCGATAAGGCCATCTAATCTAATCAATCGCCAGTCCTGCCAGCCGACAGCCAGGCTGCCAGCTGGCCAGTCCTGCCAGTTCCGTCACAATAAGCGCTTGTGTTACGATATCAGTATTTTAAGCTATAATAGCTGGAAAGATAAAGAAAGTTAAGGCATATTTATTAACAAGATGAAGAGGAGCCAAGATCATGGGTGGGGTAATGGGTGCACGAGCCTCTAATATATGCGATAAACGGGGCGACAAAACTAACATCCGTACTGATCAGTAATCAGTAGTTTTTTTGCCATTTCTCTCCACCACCAACCCTAACCCGATAAACATGCCGCCGTTAGAATCCTCCACCAGCCCTCTTGCACTGCTGCAGCCCTGGAAAGCTTGATGTATCCCCGCTATCAGATCAACAATGGCGGGCGACCAAGACGGGGTGCATTTTCCGCGCTCATACATCTACACATGAGATTCCAATGATGGGGAGTGCGACATAAACTGTTTTTTTTTCTGTTTCTTGTCTTTAAATTTCTTACGGATTCAACATGGAAGCTGCATCGGCAAGCAGGCAAAATGAGAATGTCTCAATCGAAAAGATCGAGACACTGCTCAAGGCCAAAGACGACACTTCGCGATTCGTCGGCCTTGCCCTGCTGAAGTCGGTGCTGGACAACTCCCAGGAGCTCAGAAGCAACGAAGATGCGGTCGTCAAGCTGTGGGAGAGCATTCCGTCCAAATTTCTGGATCGCTTGATCCGAACCGGGTCACGCAAGGAACCCAAGGAACCCAAGAGTTCGCCAAAAAAGGAATCCCATGACATGCTGGATCTCGCTGTCTATGTGCTTCATACATTATGTGCCCTGTTGCCAGAAGAGAAGCGGAAAAGCGGAAGACTTGTGGACAGGATACCACAGCTGGTGTCGTGTCTGTTGAACTGGTAGCCACCGCCTCTCGCCCTCTCGCCCCTGGGTTTGTCAACAAGGAACACTAACAAACAAGTAGTCCAGAACAGACAACACAACCGGTGTTAGAGACGCTTGTATCTCTAGTCAGCCAGCCGGAAGGCGCTCGTGCTCTTGTCTCCATCGAGGACGTCACTCCTCTGACTGAGATTGCATCTTCGCAGCCGCTTGCGCTCGAGGTTCTCCTTCACGCGTGGCTCAACTCAGCATCGGCAGTCGACAGGGCAGGGTTAAGATCGACCATCGACAAAAATGTCGGAAATCTTGTCGCCTCTTTCAAGGGCACAGATGCCGTGACGCTGCTGGATTTCCTGGCAAAGTTACTACCCAGTCTCGACCCTGAGGTTCTCCCTCCCAATCCGAGCTGGATTCCATCACTGGGCAAATTCATCTTCAACCTCGTTATCAGTCGGCCCACATCAGCCAGCCGCGCTGCTTTCACCAACCTCTCGGCCGCCCTCCTCGAGGCATACCCCCTCCAAGCGCCCCAGCTCCTCTTCGCCAACGAAACCAACCGCGACGAGAAGCCCTACTCGTACCTTCTCGTCAACCTCATGCTCGTCGATCTCCGCTCCTCTCTGCCCCTCCTCCTGGAGCAGCTCAACAGTCCACAATACCCCCAAACCGCCCGGCGCCTCTCCTCCGCCTTCAACGTCATCTCCAACTACATCGGCTACCTCCTCCGCTCCATGGACGCCGCCTCCCCCTCCTTCGCCCTCTCCCCGGACCACCTCCTCAAACTCCGCCGCTCCCTATCGGAAACCATGTCCGTCGCCGTCGAATTCCTCCGTGACCGCTACGACGCCTCCATCGCTGGCGCCCTCGGCCTCCACCCCGACGCCCGCACCGCCGACCTCACCAGTCTCACCTGGGACTCCAAAGACTCCACCACCACCGTCCACTCCGACCCCCTCATCCTCGCCGCCATCCAAGCCCTCGCCATCTGGCTTCGCGAAGACGACAACGAGATGCTCCGCAAGGAAGCCGCCGGCCTCTGCGACATGTTTCTCGACCTCTACCAGCACCAGCACCCTTCCCAAACCGAGGGGCGTCTCGACTTCCGGCGACCCGTCCTCGTCGCGCTGGAGGGAATCACCGCCGAGAACAAAGGCGTCGAGGCCCTCCTCGACAACAACGGCTGGAAAGTCCTGTCTGACGATCTCGTCTCAATTCTCCCCACCGCCGACGAATCCGCCGCCTCTCACGGTATCGAGATCGTCCGCATCCTCCTCCCGGTAGTCGAAGCAGAGACGCCAGGGCCGAGAGAGGAGTGGATGGATCTAGTGACCAAGGTCGCGGCGTGGTATTACGTGCCGCCCACCAGTGGAGAGGTGGGTATCCTGGAGGAATTTCAGGTGGCGGTGCTGCAGTTGGTTACGGCGCTGGTGGCGGGGACGCATCAGGGGGTGAGGAGGCGCTATGTGCATTCGGTGAGTGCCGTTTTGGGGGTTGCGGCGCAGGTGAGGGAGAGGGTTGCCAATGCGAAGGGAGGAGGAGGGGTGGATAGGGAGTTGTTGGAGGGAGTTGAGGATGTGGTTGGGACGTTGGGGGGGTTGAGGTAGGGGATTGCAACTTGGTAAACAGAGGCAATACAAACGGGCTCATGGTTTTTTCGTGGTCCATTCACAAGTCACCCTGTCTTAAACTGCTTGGAAACCCATTGGAAAGGCCACAGAGGCCTTCTAAATCCAGGACACAACCCTTTGGGAACCCTAAAGCTCACGGCCTACAAAGAACCCTCCCATACCTAGTAAACAACCTGTCTGGAAGCTTAGGGAAGCCAGCCCGAAGTCTAGACATAACTCTTCGTAAACCCAACCATAACCCTTCTAAAGCCCAATCATAACCCTTTCGAACCCCAACCATAACCCTTCTGAAGCCCTTCAGGAATCCTGAAGCTCCCCTTTCATCAACCCCTTTCCCACCATGACTCCATCACATACGACGATACCCACTGGAAAATTCGGGATCCCGTCCACTCTCCCCTAGACAAACTCGTGAGGGCCAGACCAGTCGTTGGGTCGGTGACGACCAGCGAATCCCTGGTGTTTTATGTTTTTTCTCCCTTTTATTGCCCCCTTTTTTGACACTTCTTGTCCTCTCTACCCCATCAGGGGTTTCCTGGGTTTGCGACTCCGCAACCAATCCACAACTAATTGATGAAGACTTTTTTGCTCACCATCTCCCACAAATCATCATCATAGGTCCGCTGGTTCAATGGCAGAGCGTCTGACTACGACTCAAAGAAGTTATCAGGAGGTTCCAGGTTCCACCCCTGGTTGGATCGATGACCGTCTCTACTTGGAGATGGGCTTCCTTTTTGCGCTCATTTTTGTCACGGGGAAATGGTGCGATGCCTGGGAGCTCATAAACGATCAGTGTCTTCACTACTTGGCTGTGCTTGCCCCTGACGGACCACTCGGTCTCGGTCCTCCTCGCTCTCAGCACGTCGGAGACTCTGACAAACCCAGTGGTCAACCACGCAGCCTTCAATGCCTCCCAGAAACCCGGAACATAACGTGAATCCAGAAGATCGACTGAAAGACCCCCTTCAGCTCATCGCCCTCTGTCACATCTAAAGTGTCCATCCGCTCAGCCCATTCAGCTCCCGCGAATAGGCACAAAACTACCACCACAACCCAACAATAGAACCCACTCACCACCCAACGCCCAACCCACAGAAAGGAACACAAAAAATTAATATCCTCAAGTCTCACAGCATCCATTCAGTTGCAACGAAGGAAGCCAACCTCGCCACTTCAGTTTCGTCCAAAGCACTTTCGGCCCCCAAGCCTCACAGGCGAAAGGGGCTTTGCTTTGCTTTGCCTTGCAAGCAGCACATCACGCCTACACCAAAAAGAAACACAAACCAACCAACTGAAAAACCCACCGCCAATGACTAAAACCCAAAACAAATAAATGATAACTGACAAGGTCCCAACAGTCAAGTCGCCTGTCGTACTCGGCTACCTGAGTCTGAGTCCCATGGACATCAAGCCTGCCTGAAGCCAAACCCCTATATCCCTGTCCCCTCCCACCTCGCCTCCATCTTGCATCGGGACAAAAGAAAAAGAAGAAACAAAAAATCAGGACCCCAACCCTCCTTAGGTACCCACCCGTTGTCATCTAACAGGACACGTCGGGTCCGGCGATCGAGGCGCGTACAATACAATACATACGTACCTACGCGGGGCGAGAGCAATCCATTCCCTCCCGCCGTCAGTCAGTCAGTCAGCATTGGCCTCCGCTAGAGGGTACCACTCTATCGCGCCCCCGTACACCACCAACTAACTGACCAGCCAGAACAAGACTGACTGCCTGCCCGAGCCAATCTCCAATCCTCCCCTCCTCCGAGTGAGCGAGCAACCTCTAGGTCGCAAAGAACATCCCCACCCTCGGATCACGGAAAGGGCTACCACGCTTTGCCTTGCTTCCCATCCATCCCTCTCGGCGGGAAGGAAGGGAGGAGACATAAGGGTAGGCAGCGGAAATTTATCGACCGCTCCGCCCTACTCCTCCTCGCCGTCATGTATTCCCGCGGCGAGCAAAAAAAGGAAGAAAAAAAGCTCTCTCGGCGTTGTCAGTTGGTTGGTGTCCAGGAATCGGGACAGCCAGGTCTGCCCTGTACCCCAGCCTCGCTTCCCATCTTTGCGCTCCGGAAGCGATACCCAATCTAAAACCCAACTTACGTGCAGGCACTCAACACGCCTTTTCCGCCGAGGTAAGCCCCCCCCTCCGCCTTTGGCCAAACAGATCGGCCGCGCGCATGAGGGCGGCGACGAACAGAAAGAAGAGAACAAAAAAAGCGCGTGTCCTCCGTCCTGCCTGCCCTGGTGATTTGCATACTGAGATTGAGCCATGTGCCACTGAAAGCATGTTCGGAGACAAGGTCGACGGTACGATGAGCCGAACTGACAGTGTACCCATAAAACCCTATTGGCTACCAAGGGACGCACTACAACGAGAGGGGCAAGGGGGGGGACTGCCCTCTTCCCGCGTGCCCTTTTCTGCTGTTCCACCAGTGCCCAACCAGCCTCTCTGTCTCTTTCCCCTTCCGCTCGTCACGGATCAGCCTGTTCGATTTAGCCCGTTCAATCTCCCAGACTCCCAGATAGAGCAACCTGAGGGCGAAAGCAGTAGCCTTCGAGAAAACACCTTCTGGCCGTCCCGCTGGCTCCTCCGAGCCTGACTTGCATCTTTGCGAGCCGTCCTGCCTCTTTGACGAGCGCCACTGCCGGCCAGAGCAAGATCCAGCGGGAGCAAAAATCCCACGAGCTCGTGATCCCGGGTATAGCCTCGACTTTTGAAGAAAACGAGACGGGAACCGTACCAGAGCGAATCCGGACATTAGGGGACGAAAGTCAAGCCTGGCTTGTGTTCAGGGTAATCATCGGGGCTGCTGACGCCGTGGTGATATCGCGTCCGACTCCAAGAGGAAATCATAAAACCAGCGTGATATCATCGTCTGTCTTTCCACACCTCTCGTTAGGGTAGGTCCGTACTAACACAGGCAGGGGGTTGGTGGTGTGGGGCCGATGTAGCATGCTCGCGAACCAAAGAGTCGCGAGGAAAAGCGCCGATTCGTGGCAGATTGTTCCATGACGGGCTAATGAGTTAATTCATGGCTGCGGCTGGATGGGGTGAGGAGAACAGGGGTGACTGGGAGTACACAGTATGTATGTAGCTGCTGAGCTGCTACGCATTGGACGCAAGGAGTTTGACACTTGCTTCACATCCTGGAGGACCCCTTCAGTGGTCTTCAGAAGGCGTCGAGCCCCTGAGGGTGATGAGATTGAGCAGTCAATTGCCACTCCTCGGTATTATCCGTCGTCTCCGACTGCCTTGCTGGGATGAAGAGAGCCGCAGATGAGATGATGTGCTGGTCGCATTGCTGGGGTAGCAATGTCCAGCAAGACGATAATGAAAATGGTCATGCGCCATCCGTTCCCCGCCGATGCCTCAAAAGTTCTTGCCCTTAAACGATGCATCTATTAGGTGTCAGATCAATCCCATCGCAACAGGCCGACCGTCCCAGGATCTGAGGTGGTAACCGCGGAAGAGGGTAGCAACGATACTCGCGCGTCCAAGGTGAAACAGATGTCTTGGGGGGAGAACCAGAGAACGCAACGGAGGGAACCTGCCGTCGGGAGCGGCCAGTGGTTCACGGACGGTTCGCTCGCGGGCACGGTCGTCGGCGCAGCAGGTCGCGGTCGTGTTCTATGCAGGACCGACAGCTACCTTCTCATGCTGTGCTGTGGATAATAGTCGGCTGGACTATCCATGAAGCCAATATGGATGCTGGAGCAGGGCGGATCGAATCGACCCGTGTAACCCACCTGGGCGACCCTCCATGAATCCAACACTGCTCTAGACCCAGAGCAACAAACAATCGATTCGCTACTTCGACGTGATACAACCCAAATGCTGCAAGATGCTGTGAGGCGAGATGCGTCGGCCTTTTCCCCAAGCACACTCGGCCAAGCGGACTAGAAGCTGCGCGCGCGAAGACTGGGAGGCGACGCGAGCTGTCTGTCGGTCGCGCACCCTGCGCGATGTCGGCCAGGTGTGGTAATCTGAGGGAAGCCGCCGAAGGCTTCCATATATTGGCATTCCATATCTTGCAGACTTGCGCCTAGACCCTCGTCCACGGGGCGGGCGGCAGAACCATGAAGCCTAAGCAGATCGATGTTTCCTACTAGTGTGGTGCGGGGAGCGGGCGGGGAACGGGGGGGCCTGCGACAAAAACGCCGAAAGGGTGAATTGTCACTGGCGTTTGAGGGCCCTCGGACGGAGTTAAAAGACGATGAGACGGCCTGGATAAGATTCCTATCAGATAGTAATAAACAGGGGCAAAATACAGCGAGGGTAGCATGACATAATGTATTGTCATCCATCCAAGCCGCAGGGCAGCCCTGAATGCCTGTCGCATCTCGACGAGCAAGGTGGTTGGTTTGTTGATCATGGCGTTACCGTGTTGAAGCCCAGGTTTCCACGTGGGCAATGAAGTAAGTCTCCAGGGCCCCATCAGAGTGAGTGCAGCATGGCGTGCCGGTAGTCAGTACAAGCGTTGATGTATCTGCGCCTGGTGGTGTACCTTACCCGCCCGAGATCGCGCCCGCGAGGTGTCCGAGGTCCCAAGCGGAGATATTTAGTCGCGCCAGCGCTCCCGAATGATCCCGCAGTTGGAGCAAGCGTCAGAGCGGCGTCCAACCAGCTCTGGCGCTTTTGAAAAATCAACGTTCTTGCGTCTCAGCGCTGCTCCTCCGGTATATTCTCGGAATTTCCCACGTTTTTGGCAGCGGCCACTCTCCGCACCTTCCCTCGTTTGACCCTTGTCGCCTTGCCCCGGAAAGTGCAGAAACCAGTGCCCCTCAAATGCGGAAAGTGGGTGCTGATGAGCTTTTGTTGAAGCCCCTCGTGCCCCAGATCCTCCCACTTGTCTCCGCAAACGAAGTTGCAACCGTGCGCGGCGCAGCATCCTGCTCCACAGAGCATCACTAAAGGCTGCCTTCTGTTTGGCCAGGAAATGCTGCGTTTGGCTTGGTATCTCGGCCTTTCGCTCAAGCTTCGCGTCCCCGTCATCATGCTGGGCGTGCTGCTGGGCGTTGGGGTGGGTGCCAGACCTCGAGTGTCAGTCCAGTCACCCCCCTCCCTTACGAACTGCAAGTCAGGAGCAGGGCAGCTTCTTGTCCGCATGTGCGGTAGGCAGGGTGCATGCGCGCAAGAGGGAGTGTATCCATGTAACCATGCCAGTGGCAGTCTGGAAGGCAGACAGAATCGCGGTGTGTGGAAGACACGTCGGAGTTGCTCCCGCGTGCCTAGAAATGCTCGGTCTCTTTTCATTGCACACCTCCTTCCTTCCCTCCCTCTCAACCTGGAACCGCGCAGCTCAGGTTCGTCTGCCTCGCTGGCCTTAACCCGACTTGCAGGTTGCTACCTAGGCTTTGGAACGAGTGTGTGACTGGTCTTCCTCGCCGTCGACATTCGCGCAGAGCCCATGGTTGTGTGTGGCCTGGCAGAACTGGGGAGTTCCATGAGTCCCCCCTTGAGCCAGCCTCTCCACCATCAATCTATTTGCTCCATACGCCGAATTTGAGCCAACCTTCTTTCCCTGTTCCCCGTAATCGTCACCCACGTCTCCCAAATTGCCTGCATGGCCCATTGCGGGTGAGCCGAGAGAGAACCCTTCTCTGGCTCGCTTCCACCCTGACACATCCTCCGCGAAACCCAATTGTCCACGGCTCCCAGGCTCTTCCAGCTTTCAGCACTTTGCAGCTTCACGGCGCT